TATCTTTTTTAAGAAAAATCAAATGCTTCACTATAGTACTTCATGCTTTTATCTTATTTTCAAACCCAATCTATCTAATGACTGAAACCAATAGATTTTTAAGGAAAAAATAAATGTCTTGTCATAGAATTATAGATCTTGAACTCCTCAAAATTTAATCTACTAACAAACACGACCAACACTAGTTAATTTTTAAGAGGGACAAAATTTCATCATTGGAAACATCGATATTGCTCACTTCTAGCACGTGGACTCCTACACAAAAATTTGAATTCCATGCTAGGAGAGAACTAGAGCTTATGGAAGGAAAACTTTGCCCTTTCCTCAACCCAAAGAGGGCATTTATCGATCTACTGAAGAGAGAATAAGAAAAATTTTAGAGATAAAAATTATAAAAATCTATAGATTCTTAATTTTTTTTTAATATCAAACAAATATTTTTTTTTTGTTTTAAAATATTGCAAGAAAGGGAAACATCTCCTATTTGGAAAATAAAAATAAAAAATGAATTTTTATGTCGGCGGTCCTCTCGGTCACTCACACATGCATGCTTTTGTGTGCGTGATTTTGAGCACAATCTATGAATGTGTGCATATAGCATAACACTACTTGAGCATCTGTGTGCATGTGTGCTTTGCTAGTGGGACTTTGTGCACTCACATGGGTACTTGCCTTCAACGTGCTCCTACGCAAGCCATTAGCGCACCTGCATGCACACAATTGCTGGTGTTATCAATGGTTACATGTCCAACCCATTTTTAGCATCTTCAGGTCACCAGAATCATTGTTTAGAATTTTGAAATTACTAAGATTATGATTGATGAGATTTCTTGGTTCATGATCCTAAGAGGATGCCTGCATTGATGTCTAAAGAGTGGTCGCACTTCATAATTTTTTTGAGATCTCAATTTAAAGTCATTAAATATGTTGAAAACTTAAGATATGTTTTTTTGTTATTTGTGGTGTTGATGTCTAAAAACAATGGGGCAACTGATACAACCCTAAAAATTCCTTATAATCAAACACAAATCTCGATGAATCTTAAAATTAGAAGCATCAAAAATCAAATTAAGAATTGTTTGCCCCAAATTTATAAATAAATAGATTTTTTTCAATGAGATTAATCAAATGACATCAAAAGTAATCTTATCTAAGTCATCGCCCATATTATGCACCTAAGGCATAGTAAGAGGGGTTGGTAATACTTTTAAAAAATCAAATAATCATCAAATCTGCTAAGTTTATAGCCAAATAGAACATCTTGATAAAACAACCTAATGAGCTTAAGATTGCTTATTTTCAACATCATTAAGGCACAAAAATACTCATAACATCTCATTCAACCAAGGGAGTCATTTTAGGTCATCCAATGGTGTGGTCAAGATTCAAGCAATATATACAAAGGATATTGATCTATAAATCTATAATTAGATCTCTACTATTTAGATAAAAAAAGAATTTTGACATATTTGAGAAGACTGAAGGGAGCTTTATACTCATAAGAATTTTCAAGCTCCACCACCATTGTACAACAATAACATAGCCATCGTCATCGGCTGACCACCGTCGTCATCACTAAATCACTATCACCAAGCCAGTGCTATCGCCAAAATATCATTGCCTTATTGACACCCCCATCCCCACATTGTCGAATCAACACTACTAGTAGATCGTTATCACGAGATTACTGTTGTCATTGCCGCTTTCATTGGACCACCTCCATCATAATCAAATCATCATCGATTGGTCGTCATTGTTGCTAGACCATCGTTCAACATTACAGCCATTGTTGAATTAGTGTTGCCCTACTGCCACCATGGGATCACAACAGCCTTGTTGATGTAGTTGTTGGATTACCATTTCTTAGTTTTTGCTGGTTTTGGATCATCATTGCTTGGCCGCTATCACCACCGGATCATTATTGCCTCATCAACACTATTATTTTCTCAACCATTGCTTGGTCATTGGTGCAGTTGCCATTGGACCATCATTGCTAGGCCAATACCGTCGATGTCATCATTAAAATAACATCCCTCCCATCAATGTTGATGAAGCATGATTGCCTAGCTGCCACTAATGTCGACACTGTTGACATCAAATTTTTATCATACGACCTTTGACAACGATATTCCATCAATTACAGTTGAGTCACTAAACCTTTCCTAATATTTTGTTACACATCTTGTGAAACTCATATCAATAATCTCTACCCCTGTAATATTATTTTCTACTATTCAACGGCCTACAAAGTCTTTAACTTATATTGCATGGTAGAACAAAGTCTTTAACTTATATTGCATGGTAGAACAATTTCAATTGGACTAGGCGTCACGTTTTATTTCTTTTAGATTTTATACATAATAATTATTGGTATCCCATCTATCAACTCTTCTTTTATTTTTTGTATGCTTGATTTTCAAACAATGATAAAGCATTAATATAACACCATAAATATCATTTAAATGATCATTAAAAAATAATTATTTGTAATAAGTCCATGTTGAATGTTACCCCTTTGAAGTTAATGACCAATATAAACTTTATTACCGTCGTGTGATTAGAATTTGTGGATGAAGAAACTCCATTTCTAATCAACTGCATAACAAGCACACTAACACATGTAAGGCAGCTGACCTTAATAAAAATTGATAACACCACCAAAAGATGCATGGATAGTGTTACCACTTGAGAATAACTTGGCCCAATAATAGCTTCAAGGAAATTGAAAATTGTTTAAACTCTGCTAAAAAATGAGGACATTGATTCGAAACAACTGCCTAAAAAACAAAGATATGCAACTCCCAACCCAAATGAATCCTCAAAAAAAATCATGACTTCTTAATCATGTATTAATGACTCAGACTAAATGATTATCACAGTATAAGAAAATCATTTTACGTGAATTTATTTGGATAGTGAAGCACTAATCTTCTCGAAGGCTTCATCAATGAAATCTCAGCAGCTTCATGTTGATACATAAAACAAATGGGCAGCAAATATTAATTGAAAGTGGGCAGACAACAATATTTCAGTGATGGCATTCCAAATGTACAAATTTTTTTGTTATAACAATCCAGTAGTTGCCCTCAATGCAGAATTCGAGGGCAGAAAATTAATAAATCATGAAATCCAACATAAGATCTTTTCTGTATTAGATTTACACCCAAAACAAAATCGTTACACAATCTCAAAAAACCAAATAGCTTATAATATCTAATGATCTAATCACAACTTATCTCTTAATTTATAGGCATTTAAGTCAATCCAAACACTTGCTTGTCTTCACAAATTCTGTGCTAATCAATCTATTTGACTTTCTGGTATTCTCTAGTGGAGGAACCTTCATTTTTGGAAGCCTATAAATATTAGTCTACTTATAAAAAAATGAACAAAACAAAACCATTTCACTCTGGTAAATAAGGCTGCATTTGAGGATCAATGTTCACAGCTGAAATTCTAATTGAAGTGAACAAGGTAAATTGTTTAAACTCTGCTAAAAAATGAGGACATTGATTCGAAACAACTGCCTAAAAAACAAAGATATGCAACTCCCAACCCAAATGAATCCTCAAAAAAAATCATGACTTCTTAATCATGTATTAATGACTCAGACTAAATGATTATCACAGTATAAGAAAATCATTTTACGTGAATTTATTTGGATAGTGAAGCACTAATCTTCTCGAAGGCTTCATCAATGAAATCTCAGCAGCTTCATGTTGATACATAAAACAAATGGGCAGCAAATATTAATTGAAAGTGGGCAGACAACAATATTTCAGTGATGGCATTCCAAATGTACAAAATTTTTTGTTATAACAATTCAGTAGTTGCCCTCAATGCAGAAATTCAAGAGAAGAAAATTAATAAATCACGAAATCCAACATTAGATCTTTTCTGCATTAGATTTACATCCAAAATCATTTCAAAATCTCAAAAAACCAAATAGCTTATAATATCTAATGATCTAATCACAACTTATCTCTTAATTTATAGGCATTTAAGTCAATCCAAACACTTGCTTGTCTTCACAAATTCTGTGCTAATCAATCTATTTGACTTTCTGGTATTCTCTAGTGGAGGAACCTTCATTTTTGGAAGCCTATAAATATTAGTCTACTTATAAAAAAATGAACAAAACAAAACCATTTCACTCTGGTAAATAAGGCTGCATTTGAGGATCAATGTTCACAGCTGAAATTCTAATTGAAGTGAACAAGGTTGTTCTGTACAGAGCTGCTTACCAAACATTGCAAAAAAATTAAGGGCAAAAATAAAAAATATAATTAAAAAAAATGCTTAACTAAATGTTGCGATGCAGATTTTTGAAAAGAACATGAATATGTGAATAAATCTAGTCAGTATAATCCAATTCTCATGCTGAGCCAAACTCAGCAAACCATTTCTCATGTCGCTCGATATCAACGGCAGAGACACTTCTCTGAACCTTGGTCAGGGCTTCCTCAAAATCACACATGGCCACAGGATCCTTGGAGATTTCATCCTTGGACATGTTCTTTATCTCATCCCTCGTCTTACCAGCAATTTTCCGCCTCATACCATTTAGAGATGCATCCCGACATACATTAGTCAAATCATCACCACTGTAACCTTCTGTTCTGTGAGCTACTTCATCAATGTCAACATCTTGAGCCACCTATTGATTGCAAGAAAATGAAAACAAATTCTTACAAAAATGATCACGTTAACTTTGAAGGTTATAAATGCTTTCATACAAGTGTTGGTAAATACATAATTTCTAAAGAATTTGTCAAAGAAAAAAAAAAAGCAATGAACAGAAAGCAAAATCCTAGTACTCTTGTATATAAACTAATTAGTGTCACAATCTGCCAATCTGTTTTCCCACAGACGATATTATCCTATTTGACTTTCTGGTATTCTCTAGTGGAGGAACCCTCTTTTTTTGGAAGCCTATAAATATTAGTCTATTCACAAAAAAATTAACAAAACAAAACCATTTCACTCTGTTAAGGCTGCATTTGAGGATCAATGTTCACAGATGAAATTCTAATGGATGTTCTGTACAGAGCTGCTTACCAAACATTGCAAAAAAATTAAGGGCAAAAATAAAAAATATAATTAAAAAAAATGCTTAACTAAATGTTGCGATGCAGATTTTTGAAAAGAACATGAATATGTGAATAAATCTAGTCAGTATAATCCAATTCTCATGCTGAGCCAAAGTCAGCAAACCATTTCTCATGTCGCTCGATATCAACGGCAGAGACACTTCTCTGAACCTTGGTCAGGGCTTCCTCAAAATCACACATGGCCACAGGATCCTTGGAGATTTCATCCTTGGACATGTTCTTTATCTCATCCCTCGTCTTACCAGCAATTTTCCGCCTCATACCATTTAGAGATGCATCCCGACATACATTAGTCAAATCATCACCACTGTAACCTTCTGTTCTGTGAGCTACTTCATCAATGTCAACATCTTGAGCCACCTATTGATTGCAAGAAAATGAAAACAAATTCTTACAGAAATGATCAAGTTAACTTGGAAGGTTATAAATGCTTTCATACAATTTTTAGTAAATACATAATTTCTAAAAAATTTGCCAAAGAAAAAAAAAACAATGAACAGAAAGCAAAATCCTAAAACTTTTGTATATAAACTAATTAGTGTCCCAATCTGCCAATCTGTTATCCCACAGACGATATTATTTGTTATTTATTGTTACAAAACATGAAACCAACTAAACGTCTCCTTTTAAACCATGTTAATAACCATTCGTTGCCAATGATGAATTGAAATCCCAAGTTTACAATTGGGCTTTAGAATCTAACATATACAAAAGGGAAAAAATATTAAAAATATAATCTGTGGGTAGCCTTTATTTCATCTATTAAAAGTATTTGTTAAGCGTCCATGCAGCTTTTCTAGAGTTTCAAAAGCGTTAGATTCTACCGAAGTTGTTTGATTTTTAACATGTTAATGCTGGAGGCTTAGTTTATGTGCAGATTTATTTGACCATTCTAGTTTAAATTTGCTTAGATATTCCTTAATTATAGTACATTTGCTATTCTGACATCAAGTAGTTTTCAGCAGCGCAAATTTACTTTACTACGGTTGAGTAAGTGTACCAAGTAAAAAATCTGTACCATTTCTAAATTAGATTTATGTTTTAGAAAAATCGGCTAGCGTTCAGTTCAGTTATAAGAAGCCTTGCATTCATTGTTGTTGGATGATTGTTTGAATTCTTCGACATCGTCTAAAATATTCCTTCAAATAATTTATGGAGGTTCCCAGCCATTTTAAGACTATTGATTGCAAGAAAATGAAAACAAATTCTTACAGAAATGATCAAGTTAACTTGGAAGGTTATAAATGCTTTCATACAATTTTTAGTAAATACATAATTTCTAAAAAATTTGCCAAAGAAAAAAAAAACAATGAACAGAAAGCAAAATCCTAAAACTTTTGTATATAAACTAATTAGTGTCCCAATCTGCCAATCTGTTATCCCACAGACGATATTATTTGTTATTTATTGTTACAAAACATGAAACCAACTAAACGTCTCCTTTTAAACCATGTTAATAACCATTCGTTGCCAATGATGAATTGAAATCCTAAGTTTACAATTGAGCTTTAGAATCTAACATATACAAAAGGGAAAAAAATATTAAAAATATAATCTGTGGGATAGCCTTTATTTCATCTATTAAAAGTATTTGTTAAGTGTCAATGCAGCTTTTCTAGGGTTTCAAAAGCGTTAGATTCTACCAAAGTTGTTTGATTTTTATCATGTTAATGCTGGAGGCTTAGTTTATGTGCATATTTATTTGAGCATTCTAGTTTAAATTTGCTTAGATATTCCTTAATTATAGTACATTTGCTATTCAGACATCAAGTAGTTTTCAGCAGCGCAAATTTACTAGAGTTGAGTAAGTGTACCAAATATAAAATCTGTACTATTTCTAAATTAGATTTCTGTCTTAGTAAAATCAGCTAGCGTTCAGTTCAGTTATAAGAAGCCTTGCATTCATTGTTGTTGGATGATTGCTTGAATTCTTCGTTTGACTTATAAGACTTCCAAATGGGTTTTAATTACGTCTAAAATATTCCTTCAAATAATTTATGGTGGTTCCCAACCATTTTAAGAAAATAAAAAATAAAATAAAATTATTGCCATGATAATGAACATTTGAAATTAATCTTGTGGAAGGCATTTACTTGTCAAATACTAAGCCTACAAGCAAACTTAGTAAAGAACCTATTAGACATTAAATCTATGAGTGCAGAGAAAGAATCTGTTTCATTGCAGCTAAATGAGGCCACCGTGGGCATCCTCAAATTTGAGTATTCAGGGTTACTGGAGCGAGAGTGAAGAGAAGTTGACATAGGACTAGTCTATTTGAAGTTTTGATTCATCTTCAAAATTGGCATGTCATCGACAAATCATTAAGTAATAACATAACAAACAAATACTACCTTATTTAGAAGATTCTTTCATAAATGAATGAATCAACATGAGTTTTTTTACGGCATTTTTATTTTCTTTTCTTATATTTATTTTATTGAATGGCAAAATCCCTCTAGTATATCAGACGCTTGTAGGAAGGGAATCAAATTTATGAACATTGAATAATAACAAACTTCTTCCATAGGATTATGTTTCTCTCTCTCTTCCTTAGTTATCCTAATTTGCATCAAGTAGCAATGGGTTGAACAACTCATTGATATTCATTATGCTTTCTAGCGTTCAGTTCAGTTATAAGAAGCCTTGCATTCATTGTTGTTGGATGATTGCTTGAATTCTTCGTTTGACTTATAAGACTTCCAAATGGGTTTTAATTACGTCTAAAATATTCCTTCAAATAATTTATGGTGGTTCCCAACCATTTTAAGAAAATAAAAAATAAAATAAAATTATTGCCATGATAATGAACATTTGAAATTAATCTTGTGGAAGGCATTTACTTGTCAAATACTAAGCCTACAAGCAAACTTAGTAAAGAACCTATTAGACATTAAATCTATGAGTGCAGAGAAAGAATCTGTTTCATTGCAGCTAAATGAGGCCACCGTGGGCATCCTCAAATTTGAGTATTCAGGGTTACTGGAGCGAGAGTGAAGAGAAGTTGACATAGGACTAGTCTATTTGAAGTTTTGATTCATCTTCAAAATTGGCATGTCATCGACAAATCATTAAGTAATAACATAACAAACAAATACTACCTTATTTAGAAGATTCTTTCATAAATGAATGAATCAACATGAGTTTTTTTACGGCATTTTTATTTTCTTTTCTTATATTTATTTTATTGAATGGCAAAATCCCTCTAGTATATCAGACGCTTGTAGGAAGGGAATCAAATTTATGAACATTGAATAATAACAAACTTCTTCCATAGGATTATGTTTCTCTCTCTTAGTTATCCTAGTTTGCATCAAGTAGCAATGGGTTGAACAACTTGTTCATATTCATTATGCTTTTGCACTCTTTATGACTGCCCACACATCACCATTACAAGCCCGAATGTGTCCACCTTTATATTCCTCTGCCACTTGCACCTCATCCTACACACATGCTTCCTCCATTGCATAGTACCTACTTACCACAACATTTTGTGATGAATATCATATGGCTCCTAGTGTAACCAACCACCCAGCCCTGCTTTACACACACCAACCCTAACAAATCCAATATTCTTGTGGAAGGCATTTACTTGTCAAATACTAAGCCTACAAGCAAACTTAGTAAAGAACCTATTAGACATTAAATCTATGAGTGCAGAGAAAGAATCTGTTTCATTGCAGCTAAATGAGGCCACCGTGGGCATCCTCAAATTTGAGTATTCAGGGTTACTGGAGCGAGAGTGAAGAGAAGTTGACATAGGACTAGTCTATTTGAAGTTTTGATTCATCTTCAAAATTGGCATGTCATCGACAAATCATTAAGTAATAACATAACAAACAAATACTACCTTATTTAGAAGATTCTTTCATAAATGAATGAATCAACATGAGTTTTTTTACGGCATTTTTATTTTCTTTTCTTATATTTATTTTATTGAATGGCAAAATCCCTCTAGTATATCAGACGCTTGTAGGAAGGGAATCAAATTTATGAACATTGAATAATAACAAACTTCTTCCATAGGATTATGTTTCTCTCTCTTAGTTATCCTAGTTTGCATCAAGTAGCAATGGGTTGAACAACTTGTTCATATTCATTATGCTTTTGCACTCTTTATGACTGCCCACACATCACCATTACAAGCCCGAATGTGTCCACCTTTATATTCGTCTGCCACTTGCACCTCATCCTACACACATGCTTCCTCCATTGCATAGTACCTACCTACCACAACATTTTGTGATGAATATCATATAACTCCTAGTGTCAACAACCACCCAGCCCTGATTTACACACACCAACCCTAACAAATCCAATATTCGCAACTTCTGGTAAGCTATCCCCACTCATTGTAAGTTTCCACAACAAGGTTGCACACCCCACCATCAAAGCCTACAATGTTTGTATCAACCTCATTTGCACAAAAGATCGCCTCCCTAGAAGTGCATCTCAGCACTCATGTTTCTCACCCATACCTATGATATGGACCACGTGCAAACTCTAATGAATCCCCACCGCCTCCACGTGCAATATAGTGTGTGCTCCCACTGATTCACTGCTCTATTCATCAACAATTGGTGTCATGTCCTATTATCCCTCTACCTTGTTCACATTGTCATCCAATACTCAACACTCATGCTTCACTTTATGAGGCCCACCAGCGCTCAATTCACTTGTAAATGCTCCTGATCACCTCAATCTAACCCCAACAACAAACATTACCTATAAATCCTCCTTCCCATAACAGCACCTCTACCTAGCTCTTAGATTTCATACACCGCTTATAATATGCACATTATTCTTAATAAAAGTTGATTATATAGTATAATACATATAAGCCTCTTAAAATCTATTAACAATGCTTAACTTCACTTATTTTGACACCTAAATATTGTACTACACACTACTCTAACAGAAAAAGTACAATGCATATTATAAGCATGATAAGCATTACAATTATGATCTAGATCAATAAAGCATACACACGCCCATCAAGATTCCAACATGACAATGATCACTATCCCATAATATACATAAAAAATCATAATCATCATACTATCACGATCCTCTTGACGAACAATATTATTATAACAGGTATAATAAATCATGCTAAAATTATAATGATAGTTATGATCCATGCTTTTCAGAGTAGTTGGAGAGCAAATTATATGATTCAAATCACCCATATTGTCATTTTTTTTTATGCCTACTCTCATATTTGATAGCATGAAATTTATAGATCATATTATGACCATGCAAACTTTTATCAATGATTTCCTAATCTCCATCAATCACATCATGATGGGCTTGCGCACTATCATCTTCGACATGATACACATCTTAAGCCAAACCACTTGGAC